AAATATTGCCGCCAACTGCTAAGAGATTCTGAGGGAGCCTAAAAACCAACCAACAATTCTTTTGTTGGAAAGAGGAAAAAAAGGGTTTATGAAGAGGAAACAAACAGGATGTACTCTCAAGTAGTGATGAGAACTGATAAATAAGGATTTATAGTTCCACTTAATTGTAATCAGCAAAGTTGCAGGCTGAACTGTTATAGCAAAGAAAAATCTACTGTTCATTCTCTTACAGTGGTGTGGGAATCCAAAGAGAAGACCCCCAGTGCTGTAAAGGATATAGCTAAATACTATGCATCTCATGAATGACTAAACAGAGAAATGTAAAGTTGATTTAGTCAGAAGGGATTTTTGGAAATAGTAATACCATCCTATCATGGAACTGCATTTGTTTATCCTCTTCAGTTTAGCTGAGCATTTCTTATTATTAAGAAATAATATGAGTTAAATATGAGTAGACACCAGGCTGGGCCAGAATTCAAAAGACAGAGTTCTGACTCTACTTTATTCTTCCTGCCTGGGAGTGCCTGTCCTGTCATGCTCCTAATATGGCACCTCTCCACTGCTGCCAGTTTCCAGTTGGATCACAAGGCTAGAAACAAGCAGTGCAGGCATTTTATCCGGTAGCCAGTAGAGAGGCAGGGAAGAACTGGCATGAGGTCAGCAGCAGGGAAGGGAGACAGTGCTTCAGCTACATCAAGTCAGTGCAAAATGAGGCTTTCTACCCACTCAGCTGAGACTCTAAACCAGTGATTCCCAACAAGGGTGCCAGGATACCCTGGGGTGCTGCCAGGTCCTTGGAAGGGTGCTATGAGGTATGTGAAGATAAGCAAGTTGTGAAGAGATAAGCAGATAAAATTAAATGCAGGCTCAAGATTGTTCCTGCCTGAATGATCCCCCATACCCACAGCACATCCCCTTTGCAAGGAGATGAGCACTGTAATATCAATTAGATAGGGTGCCACTCAATTCACAAAAGCTATGAAGGGGTTGCCTTGAGGTCAAAAAGGCCAAAAACCACTGCTCTAAATTAAGGGTTTCTTTTAGTACTGGACAAGGGAGCTTGAAGAAGTTATTTGTTGCCTTCCTCTTACCATTACAAATAGGAGCAAAGGACATACAGTAGGCACTGAAGTCATGAAGACTCGTTTAGCTAGCACTGAGAACTTCAAGAAATCTTAACAGTTCAGGAATCTTAGCATGTATAGCCACTCACTTCTCGCAGGGGGCTCTAGTTACAAAGCTCAACCATTTCGAACTGTATCAGGTTTTTAAATAATAGTTCACAGAGCGTGTCTTAGTCATATAAGTTTTATTGGGCACAGTTTATGATAGCAACACTGGGTAGGGAGGTGGAGGAGGGGAAGCAGGAAGGAAGTACTATTTGACTGCTTTTTTCTGAATGCCAGATTAAATTAAATCCCATCACTTGCATTCTTCCACACCTCTAAAACAGCCTCTCTTGTCCCGTAGCATATAGCTATGTCACAGCAGTGCTTGCAGCAATAAAGACGAAACTGCTCTCTGTCTTCCGAGGACATTTTTCTCCACTCAACCTATACAAATATTACTAATGAAATTCCCTCCTTCTCTCACTGCTCTGAGCACGTCTACCCCTCTCAAAACTACCTCTTGCATAGTTCCTCTAGCTCCTTCTGAATCAAGGTCAGAGATGCAATGTGATAGGTGAGTGGCTTGGGCAGCAGTGCCACATGGGACAGTGTCAATGGATATGGTAATTTTTGTGCCCCTCAGGGATGACACCCAAGGCCAAGGCCAATGCCCCCGTCACCCTCCTTCATTACATTACTGAAGTGCAGATGCCTCTAAGGGCCCATACAGTTCTGCTCTTATTTCCTGCCAATCTTCCTTCTTTCTCCAAGGAGGAAAACTTAACAACCTTTCTGGATATTTTTTAACCAGATATATAATCAGGCTAGTACTATATCTTGATAGTGCCCTTTAAAATTACACATTGCCAAATAAAAGAACAGGAGAAGTATTTCTAAAAGCCAAATAAAACCAATACAAAAAAGGATAAAAACCCACATGCAAAACAGATAATTTTATAAGTCACTAGTGAGAGAATGTCCTACCTCTGAGTGTTGTAGTTTGGCAGGTGGTTTTGAGCAGGCATCAAAGTCCCCTGATAGGGCATCAATAGCTGCAGAATCATCTGCAGGCTTCTGCAACAAAATTACCATCACTCAAAGTACGGAAAGCAAAGAATTCAAAGGATTCTAAAACTATCAAATATAGCAAAATCAAGACAAACAAGTCACACTGTTGCACAGTCCACAACCATATTTTTAGGCAGCACGGTTCTGTTCCCCATGTAAATACTACAACCTCTAATCCTGTGCCCAACATTTTAAAAAAGAACTATATTTAAAGCAGCCTGGTAGTAGTCTGTACGGCCAGACATATTATAGAAGCTGTGTACCTCTACAGACCTTACTGTGGAGCAGCTAAAGCATAGTAACCGTTCCATGAGTCTGTTCCCATCCCAAAATGAGTGAGAATTAAACTGGGAGTGCAAATGAGTCCCAAATTAATGAAGACAAAGTCATTGCGAGTTATATTCTGCTTGTTGCATGAATGGAAGAGTCAGTCATACAATTCACCTGGTACAGTTGCTGGCAGATATCCAAAAAAGTGATGCTATTTTGAAGTCAGCAGGAGTTAATTGCTTGGAACTTTTTGAAAATCAAGTTACAGATGTAAGTCTGTAAATCGGTTTTAAATGGTCCATGTTTTAAAATCTTGGGCCCCATATATTTGTTATACATGGAGCTGATAATGCTGTTTAGTTCCAAGTTCCAGAATGCACAGGCAACATTGATTCTGTATTTTCATAACTTTGGAGCAATGAATGTTAAAACCTTTGAACACTGGGTTTTTGGGATTGTGCATTAGGGCTGTGTGAAGCTTTGGGTGCTAATTCAATTCGAAGGAGAGTCAGCCCAATTCGTTGGCTGTATCTCCGAATCTGAATCGCATAAGGGGACCAATGAAAAGGTCTGAATCAATTTGAAGCTTTCCGAATCGATTTGGAAAAGATTTGGAGAGCTTTGGCAATTCGGGCAGTCCCTGTTGGCTGCAGCAGGGAGCTGGACCTGGACTCCATGCTGGTAAGTGAGGGGCGGGGGAGTGGGGACTGGAGGAGGGGACCGGAGAAGGGGACCATGGGGGGACCCCTGCCTACCCCCCCCCCCCGAGCACTCCCTGACCCCTCTCCCAGCCTCCGCCATGGCTGCCCTGCCCACCCCAGGCCCTGGTTGTTTCTGGGGGCTCATAGAAGAGACCCCCATGCAGCATGGGGCAGTAGGGGGCAGCAGGGATCACGCCCCCGCCTGGCAGGAGCTGGTGAGTCTGTGGATTTGGTTCTCTCTTTTTTTTTTTTTTTTTTTTAAAGGGCCAGAAGCAGGGGTGGGTGGGGCAGCCATAGGGCAGCTGGGAGAGCAGGCAGGGGTCAGGGGGCTCATGGCAGAGCCCCCCCACGTGGTGTGGGGCAGTGAGGGGGCAAGGATCCCCCACCCCGGCTAGGCAGCAGCTGGTGAGTGTGGGCTTTTTTTCAAAGAGCCAGGAGCTGGGGCAGGTAGGGCAGCCATCGAGAGCGGGCAGGGGATGGGACCTGTGCAGTTCGGAGATTTGGCTGATTGAGCAGTAGCCAAATCTCTGAATCAGATTCAGCCAAATTGAATCACTGTCCCCCGAATCAGCCAAATCCAAATTGAAATCTAGCCACTTCGCACAGGCCTATTGTATATGTCTGTAACATGTATACTATAAAGTGCTATGCATTTGGAGGACTTCACTTTCAATATTTCTTCATCTATTCAATAGCATTTAAAGAGATTTGAACCATATAATGCCTTAAAATGAAAGATAACATTGCTCAGATCAGCATTCAGTTATGAGCAGAGTCAGGATGGGGTCAATGCAGAACAAAACAGTTATGACTTTTACCTTTGGTTCTTTGGGTTCCACGTCCTCTTTTGACATTGGTTTTACTGGTTTACCCTTTAAAGGAAGAAGATATATACAATAAATGCAAACCAGTGAATCTTTACTTCAAAGTGATAAACTGGAAAAATAAAATAGGCTTTACACAGGTCATCATTTAAAAGATACAAATTTGCAACAATTAAGGCACTGAACTGTCCCTAGTCATTTAATTTCTACTGTTTGAGAGTAAAGGCACTTTATAATCTGTTTATCATGTTAATGTGAGATGCCCTGCAATCTCAGGGATCCTCCATTTTAATTACTTTCTGAGAATATACAGCATATTGTTTGTTAGTCACAGACAACTTACTCCATTATCTCCAATGTTCACTCACATTATTCAATTACTAGGGGAAGCTGACCCATATATACATAAACTTGTATTAAGACAGTCAAGGACAAGTTCAAAACAAACAAGCAAAAGGCTGGTGAAGTATCTGTTCTACATACCTGTTCATTTGAGTCCAAAAGCTCTCTGTACTCGGGAGGAATTGTATCATCTCTTTCTCCAGGTTTGTCTATGTGTTCAGATGTAGCCTTTTCCTACAAGCATGAAACAAACATTACTATTCCTTCATTGTTACTGTAGAATCTAACTACAACAGCTGGTATTCATTACAGTTGCTTGTATAATAGTATATCATGTAACAGATGGCCCACATGAATTGAAACTTGGGACCAAATGTATTAGTTAGGAGGATCTTAAGAGTCACTATTTCAGTATCAAGTGAAATATTTCTGTATGAGAACAGCAGCACTTTTAAACTCTACAGTTTCAGGATCAGTACAATCAGCTATATTTCTGGTTAACTGTGAAACTTGCACTTAGTGCCTAAAGCTTTAAAAACTGCTATCCCTCAACAAATATACAATTGTAATAAGTAAAAAAGGCCTAACATGATGATAGATGCTACTTATTTAAAGTAAGTTTTCAGCTCTGCTTTCAGGATCATACCTGTTTACTAAAAGTTCCATATTTGATACCTCTGTTTTAGAAACCATCCACAGGCTGCCCTCATTTAAACCAAAAGGCTGACATTACAATACCGTAGCTTTGGGCTGCTGCTCCTTGAACATGGTCAGAATGGATAAAAAAGCTTCTTAACAGCCAAATGCCACAATGAAGTAAAAGTGGCCTCTCAGAAAGCAGCCTGAACTGGCTGTAGCCAGATATGGGTTTTTTGTTTATAAACTTAAATATGCTGAAGAGGATATGGTATCATGGGTTCCTGAACACCATATGTAAAATGGAAGTGGGCATTCAACAATGTACTGTGAATAGAAGTCTACAGTTATCTTTGAATGTTGTTCTAATTTCTGTGTACAAACATGGAAGATGCCGAATTTCAGCCGATTTTGGATTTTAAACTTCATTGCAGAACTACAAGGAAGTTTTGTTGGTTTTTTTTTGCCTCCCTACCTACCATCTGACACCTTCAGGGAAGGAATTCTACCTGATCAACACATCAAAGAGCTACTCAACATAGCTCACAAAGACACTCTCATGGACCTAGAGGGACAGACTTCCATCTCCAGCTCCCTCTGTGCAAAATGAAGTTTATTTCCAACCTATGGGGACTTTTTACCATCTTGTACCATCTACACTTTTCCCAGAGCTTGACGAAGGGACTTTGATCCCAAAAGCTCGCAGAAAAGGACAATTTTCTTGTCATTTTCCAGTTGGTCTAATAAAAGGTATCATTTTGGAACCAAGAGTTCTAGTTTTTAGTATACAAATATGACCTTTGAAATAGATATGAATGTGTTCTTCAGCATCTGCAAATTTATAATCAAAATATTAGTGACGATGACAGAAAACCTAATCTGGTAACGTTTCTTTTATGCCTAAAAAGTAGTACAGGAGTTAAACACACATGAACCACAATAGAAACACAACTGGAAGGGACCTTTTGGATCATCAAGTCCTACCCCCTGCTCTGGCAGGTGGCCAGATTTATATAATCCTTTGGATCAACTGTTTACAGTCTGTCTTAAAACTAGTCAGTTTTCCTCAATTACTCCCACTAAAAGACGGTTTCATAATCTCACTGCTCTAATGGTTAGGATGCTTATTCTTATTTCCAGCCCAAATTTATTCATGGCTACTTTATACACATTTGTCCTTGTGTCAATACTGTTCTTTTAACTTTGATTGCTCTTTACCTTTCCCTGGTGTTTATGTTAATATTATGTACAGATACAACTTTTTCTTCAGGCTTGGCGTATAGCAGAAGTTTCCATTGTTCTCTCCTGACCACTTTTGGCCAATGGGGGAAAAAAGAGAGCAGGAGGAGTACCATAGGATAAAATATCTGTAGACATATCTATCAAAATATTATTACAAAATAAAGACTCAATGGGTGAACAAGGGGGTAAAAAGTCTTAAAGAAAAAAATAGAACTCAGTAGTAAGAAAGACCACCTGCTCCCACCATCACTAAAAACAGCAACAAAATTCAAAACTGGAATAGCTGTATGTGATTTTTTTTTTTTTAATTTCATCTTTAGTAGCTTCCTGATGGATTTCCTCTTTGTGGAGCAATAAATGCAATTTAACATCCAAAAAACTGAAGAAGTCACTTTAGAAAAAAAGACTAGAAAAGAAAGCTGTAATATACTGGTAGTTGTTGAAGTGGTTGTAAAAGGTTTAAAAGATAACATGAATTGGTTAATTAAACTATAACTGTTTGGATAAAAACATGCAAAATTTAAAGTCTATTCACATGACTGAAAATGGTATACCATTCTCTCTCCTATGTACACACATTGTAATACTTCAATAAAAAAGGTATCAAGATAAGCAGATGTCCCAGTTTTTTTCTGACACCACACGTTTCAGAATATCTTTCATTACCTTTACTTTATCTACGATGGGCTTGTTTTCATCAGGGTCAGGTTCTCTTTGTCCCAGTGAATCAGAGAGGAGATCTAGGGCTTTGTCTAGCTCCTTTCCACCCTAGCAAAATATGTTACAGAAAACAAATATGTTGCCAAAAATAACACTAAAGCAGGGCTTGTTAACTTCTTTAAACACTGAAAAATCTATTCTGCTTCCATAATATCACAAACAAAGTTAACTTCAGTGAAACAACAACATATGAAGGGTTACTGAGAGTGTCTACATGAGACTGATTGGGCAGTCATTACTGCAGTCATTCAGTACTTGCTTATACAAATACTAAATGAGTGCGCAGTAACCAGGAATTACTGCGCGGTAGTGTCGCTGAATGAGTTTTTTCACGTTGCTAACAGTGCAGTAGCCCGAGACTACTGTGCAGTAGCATCGTGTCATGCTTTCTGCCATGCAGGGCTACTGTGCAGTCAGTGTCTCATGTAGACACGGCCCGGGTGTTAAGAATTAGAGAGGGAATGATTTAGGAGTAGAAGGGGAAATAGTAATTTTTTTTTGCTTTCTGTTGATGCAAGTAAAATTGATACTGATCTATTGGTGACAAATTGAAAAAGATTAACTTTACTAACAGGACCCACATTATTCTACCAAGGTCACACACAGCTGCTAAGCAAGTGCCAGCTGAATGTTTCCATGGGCACAGTTTCTCATTAACATTTTAAACTTTATTTTCCAGAAAGTGCTGTCATTTGCTTGCTTGTATAGATTTTAGCCACTGAAACATCAACTTCTCCCATTAATCTTTTTTAGTCAGGCGTAAACCAGAAGAGTTCCCACATTCCGTTGTAACAGCAAACTGAAACAGAAGGGGGAGCTTTTCCTGCATTGACAAAGGATGAGAAGTTTGTGCAAAAGCACTTTGTATCCAAGCCAAAGATAGTTTTCCCTTTACTTGTAACAGAAAAGGGGAGTTCAACCTTCACTTGCAATTTTGTTTCAGACAAGCCACACCAAATAAATAAATAATAACTTATTAATATTAGTAATGGTAGTAAGCACATGGTTCCTTAGGGATACACCATGCAAATCTAGCTCATTTCTCCCTCTTTGTCAACTAAATTCTGCTAGATGTAACAGACCCCATTATGGTGCATATACATGCTACAAAAATAGACATGAATATGTGTCCTTATTACGGCGAAGGCTAGTCACAAACCCATCATAAAATCTCTTCTGACTCGCAACAGAAATGGGGGCATACCCAGAGGCTATAACTGGGTCTTCCTTTATGCACGTCTTGACTCGTAGGTCTTAGGCTGTAAAGTTTTCCTTCAGGTTTTTGGAAGAACCAGAAGAGGCCTCTGGAAATTACACACCATTTTTTGTTGGTGACCAGGAGCTTCTAGTAACATCAAAATCGAATCTGGGACATTCAGCTGAAATTGTACCTAACATCTAGAGCCTAGAATTCTTTTCTACAGAAAAATTAGCTTGCTAGCCAGTCTTAAAAGGTAAAGAGTTTAATTTTACAGTAGGCTTCATGATTAAAAACTTTTCTAATCAGATCGCTTTTTCCTTCCTTGATTAGGTTTAAATACAAATATCCTCATCATTTAAAAACTTGCATGCTGCTTACTTGAGGAGCAGGTGGAGGAGCAACTGACTGCACTGCAGAAGCTGCAGTAAAGGAAACAGCATCTTCAGTAGGTGAAGCAGAAGATTTTTTAACCTCCATTGCTTCCTAAAATAAAAAGAAACATGATGATCTGCAAACAGCACTAAAAAAAGAAAACAGACACCAGAAATCACAGCTCTATGGCAGGCAACTTTTTTCCTCCTGGTAGTGTCCTTTAAGACTGCAATTTTATAACATTATACCTATTCCAGTCCAACTTATTTTATTTATAAGAGTCCTTAATGTCTCTCAATTTGTCTAGGTGTTTTAAGTTCTATATCTCTGAAGTAACTTGCTTAAGTACACCCAGCGGTACAACTAAGGGAGGGCAAAAGGAGCACCTGCTCCAAGCATCAAGTTAGGAAGGACACCAAATTCCCACCCTTCTCGAACTCCACAGAGTTTACACCCTGGTAGCATTTTCATGCTGGTATATTCAAGAGTCCCCAGCTACTGCTTTAAGAACAACAGTGGTGCTGTCAGCTAGGGACTATTTTTAGGAGGTCCTGGCGTAGGTAAGACTGCAGCCTTCTTCCCCACCTCCCTCCCCAACAACCTCAAAACCTGCATGCTGCACCCCCACCCCACCCTACATGCTCAGAAGTGTGCATCCTTCACCCTGAAGAGTTTGCCCAACTCTGCTCATTACGGCACTGAGCTGGCCTAAGGAATCCAGACACATTTCCCAGGTGAAATCCTGGCCATGAAGTCAAAAGGCAAAAACTGCAATGTCTATTATCGCAGAGATTTTTCCAAGTAATCGCTAAGGTTCTTGCATAATCATTTAAGTAAAAACACACAAACAAATCTGATTTTTTCTTATTATTTAGGAAAGTCTGGGTCTCTGTTCTTTCAAAATTCATTGTTAAAAAAATTGACAGAAAATCCAAATTACTTAATTTGAATAACTGCAAATCAAGTGCTTTCAAATATCTTACTTTTGAAGTGGTTATTGGTACAGACTGTACAGTTGTTGCTGCAGAACAGGAAAATCCCTCTGACAATGCATCAAGGAGATCACTTTCACTCATGGGCTGCAGTTGAAAAGGAACAAAATCACAAACGTAACCCTTTTGTCCTTTAAAATCTGCTGCTTACTCAGATCATAAAGATCATAGCTGACTCTTAAAGCACAGATTGGGAAATGTTTTGTTCCCTGTTTAACGTATACCAAATGGAATAGTAAAGGACTGTCTGAATCTTTACTTATTTACCTTAGGTTTTTCTTGAGGTTTTGGCATGAGTGGTTTTCCATCTTTATCCTGCAGGAATGGGAAAGGAAAAAACACTCCTCTGTTTATAATACAGTATGTTATGACCATGAAACACAAGGCTTGGATAACAGTAGTTGTAATAAACAATGGTTAAATTATATATATATATATATATATATATACACACACACACACACACACACACACACACACACACGTGTGTAATATATATATTACACAACTAATTTACCTAACAAGAACCTCTGTAATTTACTAGTGAAGTCACAAAGACAAATAATGCTGCAGGAGTTTAAAGTAAAATCTTGCACATGTTGATTCTTTCTCAATTTATAAATAAAAGCCTAATCTGGAGCCCTATATCATCACTCCAGGACCCAGAGTCCTTCTCATGCAACAGCTCGGTAACACAAGTTGTGAAGGCCTTGGTCACATGCTTCCAACTGTCTCCTTGTCAATATCAGTCCTTGATGAAACTTGTAAAAAACCCATCTGCTCCAATGGCATTGTCCAGATGTAACTAACTGATTTTAACAGAGTTAAACAAGCAATAATGAAATCCAGTTCACATTACCCAAGATTATTCATATTTGGGTGCCACAAAGTAAGCTATATAGGACCAAATTTATTTTTAAATAAAAACTGCCTAA